GTGGTTTAAAGTCCCGTTCCTAGGAGAGTATTTAATACCGTCAGTCATGCGCCTTCACTTTCACCGGTCAAATTGTCATCCCACTGGATTTTGAGAGAAAAGTATACACATTTGTTATTGTCATTGTAAATACATCCTGCGTGAATCTCAATGAGATTGGCTGTTTTGGCCAAAATCTGTCAGAGGGACGTTTATTATAGTGTTTGCTTACCTTGCTTATGGAGATAAATTATAATATTAATACAAATGAGTTAGTTGCAACATGATAATAAGATATGTGGTACATATATTGAGTAATATAACAGGCAAGGTGACATCCATGGGAATGATTTTCATTACATGAAACTTGAAGGGACGAGCGTCTACGTAGTTAATGAATTGTTGCATATCTTGCAATTTATTTCGATCTAGAAAGATTAAAATTTGAAAATTAAATAATTGTACTTGTAGTCAAGACACTGAAATTTAAATCATTCATTTAAGCAAATCTTGTATAACATTTTCAATTTTACTACAGGGCGGGTAGACAAAAAAAAAGTGATGCCTTGGTTGGTTCCCTGCTTTTCGTGATATTTGCGTATTTAAAACAAATCTGAGTTTGTAATAAAGTAGTTGGTTCTGCACCTGAACTTTCTCTTTTTAGATTGCGTTCATATCAGGCTAATAGAGTATACGAATAGATGCATACCTTATAACCTATCGCATAGGTTGATAGATACAATGAAATAAGCTATTTCTTCATGTAAATATTAGGTAGCAGCTATTACACAAATTATTTAAGTTTGTTGTTCTCTTTGAGTTATAAAGTTTTTTAAAGTGTGTACGTGTATATTTGTATACTAGCATTGCCCGCGGCTTCGCCCGCGTTTAGATGGCCAAAAACCAAATTCTTAGGTTTTACATATAAGTATACTCTTACGATGCAGTTTTTGTATTTTTTCTCAGAAATGATAGATATTTTCCCGCGTTAAAAAATATCCTATATGTTGACTCGGATAACCAGCTATCATCATACCAAATTTCATCAAAATCTGTCCAGTGGCTTTCTCGTGATGCGGCAACAGACAGACAGACAGACAAAAATTCTAAAAAGTATAGATTCGGACTCTGTATCAATAATAATGTCTATTTCAATTAGATTTTCCAAAAAATATTTAATGTACAGATTCGACTCAATCTGAATTTTATTATATGTATAGATTAACTGACCTCGCTCATCTAGCATCATATCGTGCAGAGCTGTCTTTATTTTGTTTATATCTGTGTGTAAAGAAGAGGCGAACATTGATGGAGCAAATATTATAATTAATAATAACGCCAAAGACACACTTTCCATAACGTAGTGTAGTGGATCATTCTGTAAAACAATAAACACTGCTTAAAATATTTTTTTTTTCTCTTTTATAGTTTTATTTAGTAAAAGTTTGTCTTTTTGATGTATAGAGTTCAAATCCTGTATGATATTCTTGTATACCCTCTGTATTAGGCAGATGTAATTCTACAATAATTGTTGAAGAGAAAAAGTCTCAAAAATTGCAATGAATTGACAAAAATTCTTATACCATGGAAATATACTTCGTCATTCCCATATATTTTTAAGATTTCTAATCTTCGACAACCAATAGAATGACATCTTATGAAAATAAAACTGGCTCAGTGTGAATATAATGTAAACTGTAAAGCAGTGTGTTAGAACATAAAAGTCCGCTTTCGCCAGCTGATCATCGGAGCTCTGAGTATTTTTACAGCCCACGCTCTCGTTATTTGCATTGTACAAACATAATTTTAACTTTAACCCCATAAGTTAATCAATAATCATCAATCAATCAATGCTTTACTCTTCTATATAATATGTTTATTAATAATATAATTGTTTAGTATATAAAAAATAAAATTTTCTTTCAAACTCACTGTCTCGATTTTTATTTCTCTTATTATTTCATATATTATAAACATCACGCTTGGTATATTGAGAAACAAAGTAATAATAATCTGAAAACAAAAACAGTATCTTTTTATTTGACTTTTTATGTGTATGGTAAAATCAGAGGCAGTGATCGGAATGAAGCGGAAGCCGAGTGAAGCGAGGTGAAATCCTGGGTCTCGCATCTCTGATATTTTCATGTGCGAATCATTTCCAACATGACAATTGTCTTAACGATGAAGGAAACATCGTGAGGAAACCTGCATGTTAGAGAAAACCTAGCAAGTTTTCACAAGACATGTGAAGACCGCCAACCCGCACTTGGCCAGCGTGGTGGACTATGGCCTGATTCCCCTCGTACTCAAGGGAGACCGGTGCCCAGCGATGGGACGTTAAAAAGAGCTAAATACATTCATACATACAATAGGGATTTAACAAATGGAAACTGCAGCATGTATGTGTAATACGAGCAGTAATATAGTTAAAATAAATAAATGGTATCCCAAAAATAAATAACACACAAATATTTTAACATTTTTAAAAATAATTTTTTAAGTAATAGTAGGTACATATTTGATGTTAGAAAATGTCACTTACTATAGGATCAAATGAACTTTTGGTAGCTTCAGTGAAATCAATCAGCGATTTATACATATTTTGAATTTTCTTGGGTTCAATTTTTTTATGATGAATACAGTTCTGTATAGCTACAAGCCGACAGTGCACAGCATAGAACATGAACGACGTAACAATAAAGGGCAAGTCCAATGAGAGGTAAGGTACAAAATATAATATACTTTGAACGCATACTTTTGTCATGTCTCTAGTTGGCAATGAATATATTACAAATATTAGAAATTTAAACGAAAAACAAGTCACACAACATAAGATGACCTTAAAATTAAAATTACTACAGGAATTTATGCCCATCTGAAAATCGATAGACTGTAAATTTTCTAGAAAACAGCAAAAAGTCTGACGTTGCGGAATAAGTAATAAAATTATAATAGAAGATATATTTTGAAATACAATTTTAGAATATCCGAAGGCCATTTTCGTGTTGATCCCATCGACTAATAACATAACACATGTACAGTCAACGCATACAGCATAAACGAGAGCCCAAAATTTAACAAAAAATCTATCTTTCCAGGAATTATATTTTATAAATCCAAAATCCATGCCATAAACTATTTGCAATAGTATGAAAAATTTCTTTAATGTGTATGCATTTTCTTTCTTTCTTAAAGTACCAACCGCTGTACGTGGTTTCACTAAAATCATTATAGTACTTGTATTCTTTTATAAATAACTCAAATACCAAACTAACGTTACGTTATGATGGTTCAGAAACTTCTAAAGTTGATTTGTTTATTCAAACAAATTGCTTTAATATTTTAAGATGATACTAGCGTTTCTCTGTGGTTTCGCTCGCGTACTCAATAGTTTACTAGCATTGCCCGCGGCTCCGCCCGCGTTCAGATGGCCAAAAACCAAATTCTTAGGTTTTACATATTAGTATACTCTTACATTGCAGTTTTTGTAATTTTTCTCAAAAATGAGATACTTTCCCGTGATAAAAAGTATCCTATATGTTGACCCGGATTACCAGCTATCACCATACCAAATTTTATTAAAATCCCTTCAGTGATTTTTTTGTGATGCGGTAACAGACAGACAGACAGACAGACATACAAAAATTCTAAAAACTATAGATTCAGCCTCTGTATCGATAATAATGTTTATTTTAATAAGATTTTCCAAAAAATGTCTAATGTACAGATTCGGCTTAGTTAGAATTTTATTATATGTATAGATTACAATCAATATGATTCATAATAACACAACAAACACAAAGAACAAGAAATATTATACATAATAGCGACGACTAGCGTTTAATATAATTGTTCCTATCGTAATCGACTAAGGCTACTAACGACTTAATAAACTTCATAGACTTTATGCAAACTGGAACCAACCTTTAATATGTGACTTTCGAAATAATAAAAAAGTTCAGGCGTCTTCGAGTATTCGGTGAACATACATAAAAAAAGATTCCAACGAATTGAGAACCTCCTCCTTTTTTTGGGAAGTCGGTTAAAAAGTATATTTCGAATATAGGTTTGCTAATCAGCGAAATCTATGATCTGAGCTGAATCTATTCGAATATATGAAAAGGTATAAAGCAGTCTCCCTTTTTGTGTGGTATGTATACCATTCATGTGAGAACCGCGAAATTTCAGCGAGTTTTATTAATCCAGTCAATAAAAGTAAGCAAGTTTTTCTTTAGTTAGTAAGAATTAATTATTTAATCTCGTATTAAATATTAGTAATTGTCACTTGGTCTCTTTTACAAGTAAGACGAGAAAGGTGTTCCACAAGGAACTATGCTTGGTTCTTTTCTAGTATCAATGAATATTGTTTTTATAATGCGAAGAACTTATCTATGATTCTTAAAAAACCCAAAAAAAAACAAGTTGCATTAAACTTACACTACCTAACAGTCTTTAGATTAGGTTGTGTTTAAAAAAATTGGCTGTCCTAAAATCATTATCTTATTGGTCGATTTTTTTAAGTATCCGTAGATTTAAACTTAAGTGGTACTACCATATTTTAGCTCTCACGGGTAAACGTAGTTCAATCAATATCTTTGTAGTCAGGAATGTTAGAAAAATATACTGTGAGAATGCACATTCGAAGAGATTTTTTACTAGGTGATATTGATCGAGTCGGCTTAAACATATATGATTTGTTAACTGCCTCGGTGGTGTAGTGGCTAGCATGTACGGCTGCACACCCGGAGGTCCTGGGTTCGAGTCCCGGGTCGGGCCAAGTTTAGTTATTGAGTCTTCCTGTATAGTAAGTCTCAGTAACAGCCCGGAGTTGGGAAGTTGGCGGTGTTTCACCCCCGTGCCTCGGAGAGCACGTAAAGCCGTCGGTCCTGCACCTTAACTTCCACCGGTCGTGTCGAGTGGTCGTCCCACCGGAGTATGAGAGTGATAAGAATAGAGAGTGCACTTGTGTCTGCGCGTACACTTGAGCACTATAATATCTCCTGCGCAGTTAGCTAATCTCATTGAGATTGGCCGCCGTGGCCGGAATCGGCTAGGAGAACATCATCATCATCATATGATTTGTTTATTTGTGGAACTTTCAGTTCTAAACCACATAGATCGTCTTAAATATCTAAATAGTTACTGAACGGATAATTGTGGCTCAATCAAATGTTTTGTTATTATTTACGAAATATCACCGCAGACTGATTAGAATAAATATTAAATTTATATCTGTTTGTTTATCTGAGGTAACCTTTTAACCAGTTAAATTGATTTCGACACATCATCAGTAAAAAGACGAAAGAAATTCTGCAATCAATATTTGTTTACTATCCGCTATCACTGGTTTGTACTACGTTCAAGAAGACACAATAATAAGACAATATAGTTGGAGAAGCTATGAGCTTCTGAGTCTTTCATATTTTAAATTATTATATTTTTCTATATAATTACATCATCATCTTAGTAGGCACAAAGAGGGAAGGAAATTGGGAAACGGGAAGATTAATTATTAGGTCAAAATTCAAACATTTTTTTATTTCGCTTGGACAGACTAGCTTATAATTAAAATTACCTTAATTTAGACATTTTAAATAAAACTATCTTTTCGGATTATTTCACGGATTTAGAATTAAAATCAACAAATATTGTACCTACGGTACTTTGATGCCATTTTTTACCTTTTTTAATCTTTTTTGTAAAATAGTGGGTAGGCACTCTCTGTAACAAGTATGTAAATAACGCCTTTGAGACGCTTAAAACTTTAGTCTCTCCCGTGACCATGATTGCTGTAAAGCATTCGAAACGTCGGGAACCAAAAATCAAATTAACTCCGCAAAATAATCCGAAAAGATAGTTGTATTTAAAATGTCAAATATTTGCGTAAATCTAAGAAAGGATTATGTGTATCTTAATTTAGCTTAAATAAGGTTATGGTCTAAGATCCGGCTGCAAGATTGATACGTTCATCGAGTACTTAATCAAAATCATTTTTTTATATACAATAATAAAAGGGACAATATGTTTTGGCCAGGTTGCCTATTAAAATGTGCCGGCTAATATTTTTCACTAAATTAATATTAATTGACTTTTTAAAACAAAATCGATGAACTCGTTATTAAAAAAAATTGTACTCCACTTCACAGAAATATAATAGAGAACTTGAAAAGTGATAGCTGCCGTTGCGCAACCCTTTTATAAAAAAAAAAATTTGGTTAAATACTCGATGAACGTAGCAATCTTGCAGCCGGATCTTCATCCATTAAGGAAAATTATAAAAAAAGATACATTTTGACAATATAACAATGTACTTGGATTAAATTAAAACGCCTGACGTGTAAAATGATCTCTTAAATAAAATTATAACATTCTAATTATTAAATAAAATACATATACTTTCACGCAAGTAATGCTTACTCTATTTGGTGCAGTAATATTTATCAATATTATAATTGTGAAAGTGTGTGTTTTCTTACTTCTTCACTTTTTATCCCCTTAGTATAGATATATACGGGTATATAGAGGGACTGTGGGTCGTGTATGGTGTTTGCAGAAAAAGAAAAGATGTTGGACTTTTGGTTCAAGAAAACCTCAGCAACAGTTCAGAGTTAAGAAGTTGGTGGTTTAAAGTCCCGTTCCTAGGAGAGTAGTTAATACCGTCAGTCATGCGCCTTCACTTTCACCGGTCAAATTGTCATCCCACTGGATTTTGAGAGAAAAGTATACACTTTTGTCATTGTCATTGTAAATACATCCTGCGTGAATCTCAATGAGATTGGCTGTTTTGGCCAGTATCTGTCAGAGGGACGTTTATTATAGTGTTTGCTTACCTTGCTTTTGGAGATAAATTATAATATTAATACAAATGAGTTAGTTGCAACATGATAATCAGATATGTGGTACATATATTGAGTAATATAACAGGCAAGGTGACATCCATAGGAATGATTTTCATTACATGAAACTTGAAGGGACGAGCATCTACGTAGTTGATGAATTGTTGCATATCTTGCAATTTATTTCGATCTAGAAAGATTTAAATTTGAAAATTAAATAATTGTACTTGTAGTCAAGACACTGAAGTTAAAATCATCCATAATTAGCAAATCTTGTATAACATTTTCAATTTTACTACAGGGCAGGTAGACAAAAAAATAAGTGATGCCTTGGTTGGTTCCCTGTCCCTACTTTTCGTGATATTTGCGTTTTTAAAACAAATCTGAGTTTCTAGTAATGTAGTCGGTTCTGCACCTGAATTTGCTCTCGCTTTTGGATTGCGTTCATATTAGGCTAATAGAGTATACGAATAGATGCATACCTTATAACCTATCGCATAGGTTGTTAGATACAATGAAATAAGCTACTTCTTCATGTAAATATTAGGTAGCAGCTATTACACAAATTATTTTAGTTTGTTGTTCTCTTTGAGTTATAAAGTTTTTAAAGTGTGTATGTGTATATTTGATACTAGCATTGCCCGCGGCTTCACCCGCGTTCAGATGACCAAAAACCAAATTCTTAGGTTTTACATATAAGTATACTCTTACGATGCAGTTTTTGTATTTTTTCTCAGAAATGAGATATTTTCCCGCGTTAAAAAGTATCCTATATGTTGACTCGGATAACCAGCTATCATTATACCAAATTTCATCAAAACCTTCCAGTGGTTTTCTCGCGATGCGGTAACAGACAGACAGACAGACAGACAGACAAAAATTCTAAAAACTATAGATTCGGACTCTGTATCGATAATAATGTCTATTTCAATTAGATTTTCCAAAAGATATTTAATGTACAGATTCGACTTAGTTTGAATTTTATTATATGTATAGATTAACTGACCTCTCTCGTCTAGCATCATATCGTGCAGAGCTGTCTTTATTTTGTTTACATCTGTGTGTAAAGAAGAGGCGAACATTGATGGAGCAAATATTATAATTAAGAATAACGCCAAAGACACACTCTCCATAACGTAGTGTAGAGGATCATTCTGTAAAACAATAAACACTGTTTAAAATATTTTTTTTCCTCTTTTATAGGTTTAGTTAGTAAAAGTTTGTCCTTTTGATGTATAGAGTTCAAATCCTGCATGATATTCTTGTATACCCTCTGTATTAGGCAGATGTAATTCTACAATTATTGTTGAAGAGAAAAAGTCTTAAAAATTGCAATGAAATGACAAAAATTCTTATACCATGGAAATATACTTCGTCATTCCCATATATTTTTAAGATTTCTATTCCTCGACAACCAATAGAATGACATCTTATGAAAATAAAACTGGCTCAGTGTGAATATAATGTAAACTGTAAAGCAGTGTGTTAGAACATAAAAGTTCGCTTTCGCCGGCTGATCATCGGAGCTCTGAGTATTTTTACAGCCCACGCTCTCGTTATTTGCATTGTACAAACATAATTTTAACTTTAACCCCATAAGTTAATCAAAGCTTCTTTTCCTTCTGCTTTACTCTTCTATATAATATGTTTTTTAATAATATAATTGTTTAGTGTATAAAAAATAAAATTTTCTTTTAAACTCACTGTCTCGATTTTTATTTCTCTTATTATTTCATATATTATAAACATCACGCTTGGTATATTGAGAAACAAAGTAATAATAATCTGAAAACAAAAACAGTATCTTTTTATTTGACTTTTTATGTGTATGTTAAAATCAGAGGCAGTGATCGGAATGGAGCGGAAGCCGAGTGAAGCAAGTTAAAATCCCGGGTCTCGCATCTCTGATATTTTCATGTGCGAATCGTTTCAGACATGATTACCGCTTGTCTTAACGATGAAGGAAACATCGTGAGGAAACCTGCATGTTAGATAAAACCTAGCAAGTTTTCATAAGACATGTGAAGACCGCCAAACCGCACTTGGCTAGTGTGGTGGACTATCGCCTGATTCCCCTCGTACTGAAGGGAGACCCGGCCCAGCAATGGGACGTTAAAAAGAGCTAAATACATACATACAATAGGGATTTAACAAATGGAAACTGCAGCATGTATGTGTAATACGAGCAGTAATATAGTTAAAATAAATAAATGGTATCCCAAAAATAAATAACCCACAAATATTTTAACATTTTTAAAAAACTTTTTTTCTATAATAGTACATATTTGATGTTAAAAAATGTCACTTACTATAGGATCAAATGAACTTTTGGTGGCTTCAGTGAAATCGATCAGCAATTTATACATATTTTGAATTTTCTTAGGTTCAATTTTTTTATGATGAATACAGTTGTGTATAGCTACAAGCCGACAGTGCACAGCATAGAACATGAACGACGTAACAATAAAGGGCAAATCCAATGAGAGGTAAGGTACAAAATATAATATACTTTGAACGCATACTTTTGTCATGTCTCTAGTTGGCAATGAATATATTACAAATATTAGAAATTTAAACGAAAAACAAGTCACACAACATAAGATGACCTTAAAATTAAAATTACTACAGGAATTTATGCCCATCTGAAAATCGATAGACTGTAAATTTTCTAGAAAACAGCAAAAAGTCTGACGTTGCGGAATAAGTAATAAAATTATAATAGAAGATATATTTTGAAATACAATTTTAGAATATCCGAAGGCCATTTTCGTGTTGATCCCATCGACTAATAACATAACACATGTACAGTCAACGCATACAGCATAAAAAAGAGCCCAAAATTTAACAAAAAATCTATCTTTCCAGGAATTATATTTTATAAATCCAAAATCCATGCCATAAACTATTTGCAATAGTATGAAAAATTTCTTTAATGTGTATGAATTTTCTTTCTTTCTTAAAGTACCAGCCGCTGTACGTGGTTTCACTAAAATCATTATAGTACTTGTATTCTTTTATAAATAACTAAAATACCAAACTAACGTTACGTTATGATGGTTCAGAAACTTCTAAAGTTGATTTGTTTATTCAAACAAATTGCTTTAATATTTTAAGATGATACTAGCGTTTCTCTGTGGTTTCGCTCGCGTACTTAATAGTTTACTAGCATTGCCCGCGGCTCCGCCCGCGTTCAGATGGCCAAAAACCAAATTCTTAGGTTTTACATATTAGTATACTCTTACATTGCAGTTTTTGTAATTTTTCTCAAAAATGAGATACTTTCCCGTGATAAAAAGTATCCTATATGTTGACCCGGATAACCAGCTATCACCATACCAAATTTTATTAAAATCCCTTCAGTGATTTTTTTTGTGATGCGGTAACAGACAGACAGACAGACAGACATACAAAAATTCTAAAAACTATAGATTCAGCCTCTGTATCGATGATAATGTTTATTTTAATAAGATTTTCCAAAAAAATGTCTAATGTACAGATTCGGCTTAGTTAGAATTTTATTATATGTATAGATTACAATCAATATTATTCATAATAACACAACAAACACAAAGAACAAGAAATATTATACATAATAGCGACGACTAGCGTTTAATATAATTGTCCCTATCGTAATTGACAAAGGCTACTAACGACTTAATAAACTTCATAGACTTTATGCAAACTGGAACCAACCTTTAATATGTGACTTTCGAAATAATAAAAAAGTTCAGGCGTCTTCAAGTATTCGGTGAACATACATAAAAAAAAAGATTCCATCGAATTGAGGACCTCCTCCTTTTTTTGGGAAGTCGGTTAAAAAGTATATTTCGAATATAGGTTTGCTAATCAGCGAAATCTATGATCTGAGCTGAATCTATTCGAACATATGAATAGGTATAAAATCAGTCTCCCTTTTTGTGTGGTATGTATACCATTCATGTGAGAACCGTGAAATTTTATCAATTTCAGCGAGTTTTATTAATCCAGTCAATAAAAGTAAGCAAGTTTTTCTTTAGTTAGTAAGAATTAATTATTTAATCTCGTATTAAATATTAGTAATTGTCACTTGGTCACTTTTACAAGTAAAACGAGAAAGGTGTTCCACAAGGAACTATGCTTGGTTCTTTTCTAGTATCAATGAATATTGTTTTTATAATGCGAAGAACTTATCTATGATTCTTAAAAAACCCAAAAAAAAACAAATTGCATTAAACTTACACTACCTAACAGTCTTTAGATTAGGTTGTGTTTAAATAAATTGGCTGTCCTAAAATCATTATCTCATTGGTCGATTTTTTTAACTATCCGTAGATTTAAACTTAAGTGGTACTACCATATTTTAGCTCTCACGGGTAAACGTAGTTCAATCAATATCTTTGTAGTCAGGAATGTTAGAAAAATATACTGTGAGAATGCACATTCGAAGAGATTTTTTACTAGGTGATATTGATCGAGTCGGCTTAAACATATATGATTTGTTAACTGCCTCGGTGGTGTAGTGGCTAGCATGTACGGCTGCACACCCGGAGGTCCTGGGTTCGAGTCCCGGGTCGGGCCAAGTTTAGTTATTGAGTCTTCCTGTATAGTAAGTCTCAGTAACAGCCCGGAGTTGGGAAGTTGGCGGTGTTTCACCCCCGTGCCTCGGAGAGCACGTAAAGCCGTCGGTCCTGCGCCTTAACTCTCACCGGTCGTGTCGAGTGGTCGTCCCACCGGAGTATGAGAGTGATAGGAATAGAGAGTGCACTTGTGTCTGCGCGTACACTTGAGCACTATAATATCTCCTGCGTAGTTGGCTAATCTCATTGAGATTGGCCGCCGTGGCCGGAATCGGCTAGGAGAACATCATCATCATCATATGATTTGTTTATTTGTGGAACTTTCAGTTCTAAACCACATAGATCGTCTTAAATATCTAAATAGTTACTGAACGGATAATTGTGGCTCAATCAAATGTTTTGTTATTATTTACGAAATATCACCGCAGACTGATTAGAATAAATATTAAATTTATATCTGTTTGTTTATCTGAGGTAACCTTTTAACCAGTTAAATTGATTTCGACACATCATCAGTAAAAAGACGAAAGAAATTCTGCAATCAATATTTGTTTACTATCCGCTATCACTGGTTTGTACTACGTTCAAGAAGACACAATAATAAGACAATATAGTTGGAGAAGCTATGAGCTTCTGAGTCTTTCATATTTTAAATTATTATATTTTTCTATATAATTACATCATCATCTTAGTAGGCACAAAGAGGGAAGGACATTGGGAAACGGGAAGATTAATTATTAGGTCAAAATTCAAACATTTTTTTATTTCGCTTGGACAGACTAGCTTATAATTAAAATTACCTTAATTTAGACATTTTAAATAAAACTATCTTTTCGGATTATTTCACGGATTTAGAATTAAAATCAACAAATATTGTACCTACGGTACTTTGATGCCATTTTTTACCTTTTTTAATCTTTTTTGTAAAATAGTGGGTAGGCACTCTCTGTAACAAGTATGTAAATAACGCCTTTGAGACGCTTAAAACTTTAGTCTCTCCCGTGACCATGATTGCTGTAAAGCATTCGAAACGTCGGGAACCAAAAATCAAAATAAATCCGCAAAATAATCCGAAAAGATAGTTTTATTTAAAATGTCATATATTTGCGTAAATCTAAGAAAGGATTATGTGTATCTTAATTTAGCTTAAATAAGGCTATGGTCTAAGATCCGGCTGCAAGATTGATACGTTCATCGAGTACTTAATCAAAATCATTTTTTTATATACAATAATAAAAGGGATAATATGTTTTGGCCAGGTTGCCTTTTCAAATGTTCCCGCCAGTATTTTTAATTAAATTTTATTATTGTATCCTCTTATTATTGTATATAAAAAAATATTTTGATTAAATACTCGATGAACGTAGCAATCTTGCAGCCGGATCTTCATCCATTAAGGAAAATTATAAAAAAAGATACATTTTGACAATATAACAATATACTTGGATTAAATTAAAACGCCTGACGTGTAAAATGATCTCTTAAATAAAATTATAACATTCTAATTATTAAATAAAATACATATACTTTCACGCAAGTAATGCTTACTCTATTTGGTGCAGTAATATTTATCAATATTATAATTGTTAAAGTGTGTGTTTTCTTACTTCTTCACTTTTTACCCCCTTAGGGGTAAAGGGACTGTGGTTCGTGTATGGTGTTTGCAGAAAAAGAAAAGTTGTTGGACTTTTGGTTCAAGAAAACCTCAGTAACAGCTCAGAGTTAAGAAGTTGATGGTTTAAAGTTCCGTTTCTAGGAGAGTAGTTAGTTATACCGTCAGTCATGCGCCTTCACTTTTGATTTTGAGAGAAAAGAATACACATTTGTCATTGGCTGTTTTGGCCAAAATCTGTCAGAGGGACGTTTATTATAGTGTTTGCTTACCTTGCTTTTGGACATAAATTATACTATTAATACAAATGAGTTAGTTGCAACATGATAATAAGATATGTGGTACATATATTGAGTAATATAACAGGCAAGGTGACATCCATAGGAATGATTTTCATTACATGAAACTTGAAGGGACGAGCATCTACGTAGTTGATGAATTGTTGCATATCTTGCAATTTATTTCGATCTAGAAAGATTAAAATTTGAAAATTAAATAATTGTACTTGTAGTCAAGACACTGAAGTTTAAATCATCCATAATATGCAAATCTTGTATAACATTTTCAATTTTACTACAGGGCGGGTAGACAAAAATAATAAAGTGATGCCTTGGTTGGTTCCCTGCTTTTTGTGATATTTGCGTTTTTAAAACAAATCTGAGTTTCTAGTAAAGTAGTAGGCTCTGCACCTGAATTTGCTCTCGCTTTTGGATTGCGTTCATATCAGGCTAATAGAGTATACGAATAGATGCATACCTTATAACCTATCGCATAGGTTGTTAGATACAATGAAATAAGCTACTTCTTCATGTAAATATTAGGTAGCAGCTATTACACAAATTATTTAAGTTTGTTGTTCTCTTTGAGTTATAAAGTTTTTTAAAGTGTCTACGTGTATATTTGTATATTAACTGACCTCTCTCATCTAGCATCATATCGTGCAGAGCTATCTTTATTTTGTTTACATCTGTGTGTAAAGAAGAGGCGAATATTGATGGAGCAAATATTATAATTAATAATAACGCCAAAGTCATACTCTCCATAACGTAGTGTCGTGGATCATTCTGTAAAACAGTAAACACTGCTTATATATAAATTTCTTTTTCTTTTACCGTTTTATTTTGTAAAAGTTTGTCTTTTTGATGTATAGAGTTCAAATCCTGTATGATATTCTTGTATACCCTCTGTATTAGGCAGATGTAATTCCACAATTATTGTTGAAGAGAAAAAGTCTTAAAAATTGCAATGAAATGACAAAAATTCTTATACCATGGAAATATACTTCGTCATTCCCATATTTTTTAAAGATTTCTATTCTTCGACAACCAATAGAATGACAACTTACGAAAATAAAATTGGCTCAATATGAGTATAATGTAAACTGTAAGGCAGTGTGTTAGAACATAAAAGTCTGTATTTGTCGGCTGACCTTTAGAGCTCTGAGTATTTTTACAGCCCACGCTCTCGTTATTTTCATTGTACAAGCATTATTTTAACACTTCCAGGTAAACTTCTAAGAAATTAATTAAATTTCTAAGAAATCTATTGTTAACTGTAACGTCGGCGTGTCTGCGGTCGTGGAGGGATTAAACTTTAACCCCGTAAGTTAATCAATACTTTTTCTACTTCTGCTTTACTCTTCTTTATATTATGTTTATCAATAATATAATTGTTTAATGTATAAAAAATAAAATTCTCTTTTAAGCTCGCTTTTATTTTTTTTCTAATTATGACATATTCCAACCTTTGACGTAATGTAATTTAATTGTTATTAATTTAAATTGACTGATTGACATGCCTTATTAGTATATTGACATACATGATTTATTTAATTTCAATGTTAAATGTTTTTAATATTTAAATGTTTTTATTTTTCTTTGCTTATTTCTGTGATAATTTTGTAGCATGTTATCTCTGTTTTCTATGTTCCAACTGATGATTTTTATGGACTTCTTGTCTGAAATAAACGCTTATTATTATATTATATTATTATTAAACTCACTTTCTCGATTTTTATTTCTCTTATTATTTCATATATTATAAACAACACGGTTGGCATATTGAGAAACAAAGTACTAACAATCTGAAAACAAAAACAGTGTCTTTTTACCAGTGGTAACGCGCTCGCTTGGGAAACCGAGTGACGCGAGCTAAAATCCCGGGTCTCGCATCTCAGATATTTTCATGTGCGAATCATTTCCAACATGATTACCACTTGTCTTAACGGCGAAGGAAACATCGTGAGGAAACCTGCATGTCTGAGAAAACCTAACAAGTTTTCATAAGATATGTGAAGACCGCCAACCCGCACTTGGCCAGCGTGGTGGACTATGACCTGATTACCCTCGTACTGAAGGAAGACCAGGCCCAGCAATGGGACGTTAAAAAGAGCTGAATACATACATACAATAGAGATTTAACAAATGGAAACTACAGCAAGTATGTGTAATACGAGCAGTAATATAGTTAAAATAAATAAATTGTATCCCAACAATAAATAACCCACTAATATTTTAACATTTATAAGAATCAATTTTTCAATAACAATAGGTAGGTACATATTTGATGTTAAAAAGTGTCACTTACTATTGGATCAAATGAACTTTTGGTGGCTTCAGTGAAATCAATCAGCGATTTATACATATTTTGCATTTTCTTGGGTTCAATTTTTTTATGATGAATACAGTTGTGTATAGCTACAAGCCGACAGTGCACAGCATAGAACATGAACGACATAACAACAAAGGCTAAATCCAATGAGAGGTAAGGTACAAAATAGAATAAACTTTGAACCCATAGTTTCGTCACGTCGTCTCTGTTTTGCAGTTTATATATTACAAATATTAGAAATTTAAACGAAAAACAAGTCACACAACATAAGATAATCTTAAAGTTAAAATGACTACAGGAATTTATGCCCATCTGAAAATCGATAGACTGTAAATTTTCTAGAAAACAACAAAAAGACTGACGTTGCGGAGTAAGTAATAAGATTATAATAGAAGATATATTTTGAAATATAATTTTAGCATATCCGAAGGCTATTTTCGCGATGATCTCATTGACTAATAGCCTAACACATGTATAGTTAACGCATACTGCATAAACGAGAGCCCAAGATTGAACAAAAAATCTATGTTTCCAGGAATTATATTTGATAAATCCGAAATCCATGGCATAAACTATTTGCAATAATATGAAGAATTTCTTTAATATATATGATTTCTTTTTATCTTTTAAAGTACCAGCGGCTGTACGTGGTTTCACTAAAATCATTATAGTACTTGTATTGTTTCTTTTATAAATAATAATATAACGTTACGTTATGATGGTTCAGAAACTTCTAAAGTTGATTTGTTTAGTCAGACAAATTGCTTTAATATTTTAAGATAATACTAGCGTTTCTCTGTGGTTTCGCTCGCGTACTTAATAGTTTATTGTATAATAGCGACGACTAGCGTTTAATATAATTGTTCCTATCGTAATTGACAAAGGCTACTAACGATTTAATAAACTTCATAGACTTTATGCAAACTGGCACCAATCTTTAATATGTCACTTTCGAAATAATATAATGTCTATCTTTTTCTATATCCTATAATACTCGTAAAATTCTAACTGACTCGAATCTTTACATTGAATATTTTTTGAAAAATCTTATTGAAATAGTAATTATTATCGATACACAGACCGAATAATTATTATAGTTTTTAGATTTCTGTCTTTCACATCGCGAGAAAACTACTGGACAGATTTTGATGAAATTTACTCCGAGAAATTATCTCATTTCTGAGAAATCCCGAGTAGAGCGAGGGTGAGTCGCTAGTTCTAAATAATATTTAAAACAATGCGTAAAAAAGTATTTGCCTAAATAGAATGAGATGTTTTTGATTAATTCAGTTTATTTTTAAATAAGTTAAATTCAAAATGGGACTGAAATGGATTCATGAATTATTAATAAAAAATGCTTTTAAATTTATTAACAGCTTACTTTTACTGCGACCTTTCAGGCATTTTATTGGCTACCAACTTCAATTAAAGTTAATATGATTTCCACCACTAAACAAATTTTCATTACAATAATTAATAGTTCATAGGTAATAGTATATAGGTATACTCGGCAGTAACGTGGCTGACTATTAGTGAAAGAATTTTCAGAATCTGATCTGTAGTTTTAGAGATTACCCCCTACATACAAACTTACAATCTTTACCGTTTTTAACCGACTTCCAATAAGGAGGAGGTTTTCAATTCGTCAGAATCTTTTTTTTGTGTATGTTCACCGATTACTCGAATATACCTGAACCGAACCTTATAAAAAATCTACATTAAATTATTTTTTGAAATAAATTGCTTGATTGAATATGTTATTAAAACTTTCTTCTTACAAATTACCTGCTTATTATGTCTATACTAAAAATAGAAAAATAAAAACTTAAAAAAAACCTACTTCCAGGCACTAAAATGTAGAAAACTAGTCTAGAATCCTAAATATTAAGTGGTTAAACATATCAGTCGTCTTTGATATACACAAGTTTATTATTTTATTGTACAATAAATATAATAGTCGATAACAAAAAAAAAACGTGTGTATGTACTTATGTACGCATGTAAGAAGTAATACTTCAAATTATAATATTATATAATAATAGTAATTAATAATAGTAATTAATGTTGTTGCACCACATCTAGCTACTATACTTAATAGCAGTATGGGGCATAGTGCGTTTCCTGATCTAATGACATAGTAAAATCATTCCTATTTTTAAATTAGGTAGAACCTTAGACCCTAATAATTTTAGACCAATTTTGGTACTGCCAACGTTTAGTAAAAATTTTGAAAAAGTCATACTCGTGCAAATGTTGACTCATTTCAATATACACAATCTACTTCATAAGAAACAGTTTGGATTTGCGAAAAGCTGCTCCACGGCAGATGCTAGTATTGAGCTAGCAAAAGATATTTTTGAGGCTTGGGAGGGATCACATAATGCACTTGGAATATTCTGTGACTTTCCAAGGCCTTTGATTGTGTGCATCATGAAACGCTGATAAGGAAACTGCATCATTATGGTATTAGAAGTAAGGCACTCGAGCTTCTGAATTCGTATTTAAATAATAAAATACAGAAGGTTGATGTAAATGGTAAGAGATCTCCTGGGGCTCTATTAGATATGGGGGTTCCACTAGGATCTATCCTTAGCCCCGTCCTCTTTCTTATTTATATTATTGATTTGCCATTTTTTGTACAGGACAAACATGAGATAGTATTATTCGCTGATGACACTTCACTTATTTTTAAAGTGAATCGTAATTTACTAATATGCGACGATGTAAACAATGCTCTCACAAAGGTTGTACATTGGTTTAATTCAAATAGTTTATTATTAAATAACAAAAAAACAAAATTAATAAAATTTCGACACCTAATGTTAAACTTGTTGATAATGGTGTCATATTAAATGGGGAAGTGTCAAAAGGTAGAGTGCACTAAATTCCTAGGTATTATCATAGATTCAAAATTGCAGGCCCCAATATTAAGGGGCTAGTGAGTAGACTCAGCTCTACAGCGTTCGCGGTAAAAAAATAAGACTTATTACTTCTCGCATAGTATATTTTGGTTATTTTCATAGTATTATGTCATAAGGTATCTTACTTTGGGGAAATGCAGCTACTTTTAATACGATTTTTGTCTTGCAGAAAAGACCCATTCGTACAATTTATAGTTTAAGTCCTAGAAGTCATTAAGAGATAAGTTTAAAGAAATAAAAATATCGACTGTTGCTTCTCAGTACGTATACGAAAATGTTATGTATGTTCTTAAAAATATAAAAGAATTTCCCGAGAATTGTGACATCCATAGCAAAAACTTGTAATGCCTGTGACTCGTCTACCCAGAGTCTGTTATTTTTTTATGGACAATGTACGCTTATATAACAGGATCCCAGAAAATGTTCAAAAAGCTTCTATCGCCAAATTCAAAAGAACGTTTATGTGCTTAAGGCTATTATAAAATCAATGATTTTATAGAAGATGGCAAGCCTTGGGAATGAAGTGATCGAAAAAGATAATGAAAAAATGTTCATCCCGCTGAGTTTCTCTCGCCAGTTCTTTTCAGGTCTGAGGCTTTTTCTTTCCGAACTGGTAGTAGACTCATGACGGACAGTAAAAAAATGTAATAATTTAATGCTGAATAAAATATGTATTTTGAATTTGAACTTGTTGTAAAAACAATGCACAATTTAGTTTGGTCTTTTTTTATTTATAAGTTCACAAAACCGACATACAAACGAAATAAACAGGCTTAATTATAATTATTCTAAGGTATACAATTAGACAAATGATATCTTCTAAGATGTGAACATCACGTGCATATGAACAGAACTAAGTACTAACTATAAAAATATGTCATATTTAACAAGGTTTAAATCTAATTATTTCTGTATTTTATATTTAATAACACACCTTCCTATGAATATTTTAAAGTAAGTATAATTTCTGATGTTGAAATAGGCTTATATTGTAGGTTCCCCCCCCCCATCGTGCGTTCACCTTGTCGTGGTGGGGGGGCTCAGAAGTGTCCGGCAATCCAACCGGGCGCGAAGCCAAGAAACGCACAGGGAGGTTGCCCACTTCGGTGGGCGGTGGGAGGTGGCCCTCTTCGGGGGGCGGTGTACCATGCGGGTTGCTCCTGGTACTTCTCTGATAGCAAAGTGGACTGTGGAGCAACCCCATGGTTGTGGTGGTCTGCTTCGGCGGACCTGCCGTCGGGGCGTCGTAGTTGAATGCGTAAGCGATCCTGCGACGCCCCATTAAGACGGGGGAAGGTTTTAGTGGGTAGTACTGGCTGTATTACGCCGGTGAGTCCCACACGTCGTGCGTAAATGCATTTCCCAACGTTAAAAAAAGGCTTATATTGTAGGTTACTATATAGGTATGCTACTTTTTATTGTATCACTATCACGCGAGCGGAGTCGCGATAAAAAGTACTTATAAATAGATCTAATACAAATGAGACAGTTGTAGAATTACAATAATGTATGTTATATATACGTTTATTAGTGTTAGTGGTAGCTTTGAATTTAATGGAATTAGATCAAAAACTTGAAATTGAAACGGTCTGGTTTCTATGTATTGAATAAATCTTCTTATTTCCTTCGTCTGTTTCTGACCTGTTAAATGTGTTATTATTTTTATTAGTCACGATGTTCAAATATAACCTACGGTACAAAGTATGTCTGAATTTTAAAAATTTACTTGATTGGCAACGGAAAACTCACCTTTTGTAAAAAGTAGTTTGTCATTTAGAATAATTTTTATGTCGTTAGCCGTTGCTCCAAGTCTTGATGCATAGACGGCCGGTAAAAATATATTCAGTAAATATTGCAAAAGTGTTATGTAAACGAAAAAAAGATGAAATGCGTCAGTCTGGAATCAGTAATTTAAATTAAAAAATAAGTAAATACTTATTTAATTCTAATAAAACTAGTTTCATTCTAATTCATTTCCACGGGAAAATACAATAACTGGTTTTATCGAGTCATCCTTAGAAAATATGGTTAATGCTGGCTAAACCTTAACAGATAGGTACATCAAACCGATGTACTAGAAAATTGTAGGTCTTAAAAAGGCCTACAAAGAAATCAGCAATA